TCGGTTTGGGATTCCTGCCTCCCTTCAGTCTGACAATGGTCCAGAGTTCACCTCCAAGGTTTCCCCCACACTAGCTAAGGCTCTTAGCATTCCTTGGCATTTTCATATCCCATATCGTCCTCAATCCTCAGGAAAGGTGGAGCGCACCAACCGGTCTTTAATATCTATTCTTACTAAGATGTCACAGGAACTTCACCTCGACAGGGTAAGACTATTGCCTCTAGCTCTTTCAGGCTCAAGGCTCTTCCTAAAAAGCCTCTTTCAATTTCTCCATTTGAACTAATGTATGGAAGGCCGGTTCTAACACCAGGTCTTCTATCCAACCCTCCAACTGTTCCAGATAGCCTGTTAACTCCCCTGCTATGTCACCTAAGGTCTATCCTGTGGAACTTCGCAGACCATTCCTTACCTCAGTCATGTGACAATCCTTGCCCACCTCCAATCCACATTGGGGACCAGGTTCTTCTTTCCCCTCCAGGCCAGCACTCTTCACCCCTTTCCCCTAAGTGGCAGGGACTGTTCAAGGTAATTCTTGTGACTCCTACAGCTGCTAAACTCGAGGGCTTTCCTCACTGGGTCCATCTGTCTCATCTGAAACCTTTTATCTCACCTCTATCCCGGAAAAATCTCTCGTCATACACAGTGACACAGACAGGCCCTGCTCTCTCAAGTTCCAGAGGACACCAGGATCCACTGCCTTGTCACCAATTCCAGAGGAATGAGGTATCACACCATAAGCTCTTCCTTTCCTTATTAACTACTCAGCTAATTGTTATAGTACCACCAGAGAGCCGGAGGCAAAGGACCATCAGCTGTATCCAGGCGGTAAGGAAAAAAAAAACAGTAATAATCAAAAGGTATTTACACCCCCAGACCCAAAAGTGTCTGGGCTCTGCAAAAACAGACTCTAATATAACAGTCTACCACTGTTGAATGCTCTCATCAATTGGTCCCCTGTGTCTCCTAAATGCTAAACTAATAAAGGAAACAGGTGCCTTAAATAATCTACCTCTAATAAAGCTTGTCTCAGGTAAAAAATAAGCAGAGTACTAAACACTACAATGGTCAGTAATTTTCTCATGGCTGCTGCTTAATATGTTCAAATTTTTTTCCAAGCTCCAGAAACCATCTTAAGCCCATCTGGACAGGTTGGATCTACTTCAGATAAGTGCCAAACCCAATCTTTCCTGGTCTGGGAACACTCCAAAGAAAATAAAAATAATAATGATTCTTTTTTTCCTAAGCTTTTTCTGTCTCACCAGTATCCTGTCAGACAAAGAGTTCCAAGCCAGAAAAGATGGACAACTCCAGGGCAGCAGACAACAGCCCACCATCCCAGGACACCTGTCTACTTCAGAATCTCCCTCCCCCAAGAGTCAACCGATGCCCACCAAGTCAGCTGGAAGCAGTTTTCGGGAGAAAGGACACCCCATACCCACTCATCCGCCATCTTTTATAAAAAAAAAAAAAAAAAAAAAAAGAGTCTGGAATGATAGGAATTCCAGCCACGCCCCCATGGTCAATGCATGCCCCGATGGGACACTTAGTCATTTCAGGTTCATACATCCTATGTAACCCTTGCGCTGTGTGGTCACATAATAGCGCATGGCATGACCACATGATCTATGTGCATGCATGGAGTAGCCACGTGCACCTGTGTGTGCATGCTCGGGTGACCCCCCACCCCCGCCATACTCCTTCCCTCACGTGTCCTTTCAACAGGCCTGATCACACCTGTCCTTTCTCGATTCCTCAATAAAACTTTTTTTTTTTTTTTTTTTTTTTTTTTTTTTTTGGTTTTTCAAGACAAGGTTTCTCTGTGTAGCTTTGCGCCTTTCCTGGAACTCACTCTATAGCCCAGGTTGACCTCGAACTCAGAGATCTGCCTGCCTCTGCCTCCCGAGTGCTGGGATTAAAGGCGTGCACCACCACTGCCCGGCAATAAAACAATTGTTAATGGATTCTGTCGTGTTTCATGACTTTTCCTCACAGGGTAAGAGCACCGCTAAAAACCATCACAGGCCACCCACAGCGACTGACCTGACAGGAAGGGGTGGTCACACACAGTGAACATTCACAAGCCTGCCAGAGAGACTGAGGCATCTTCCCACTGTGGCTCCAGGAAAAACGTTTGTTTTGCCCTTCTGTGCATCTGTGGTCTCCTTCTGTGGCTCTGCTTAGCACATCATGCTGGCAGCTGGCTCCAGCCCCCTCAGGTCTGTCCAGCAGGTTCTGGGCTGCAGCCAGTTTGCCCTTTCATGAGAGTCAAGCCTCATGCCTGAGAGACTGTGGTTGCTAGGAAGCTGTGTCTGACTCCATGTCTGGAACTTTTCTCAGCTTTCTTGGGCCCTATGCTTGGATATTCAAGCCCCCACGTTAGGTGCCGAATGTTGTTTCATTGCTAGGCCTCGGCCAGAGCTTCGGGGCAGTAGCTGAAACTGCAGTAGATGAAGACATTTGAAGAACCAGGAAAAGCCCTGTCTTTGTCAGAGGTATGGCCTTGGTCTGGTAGGGGTGAGAACTGCCCGGGTTACAGGTACGTGCAGACTCCTGGCCTCCTCTCAGGCCTGCCATTTGTTAGGCGGGAATCAGGAACATTCCTAATGCTGGGAGACTCAGGGTTCCTCACCTAGTTAATGGGCTTCCTATAAGCATGGCTGGAATATGTGTCCTGCATGTAAAAGCCCTGGGGTGCAAGTGCCTTGAGTGAGGAGAACTACAGTGAAAGGTATGACACAAGATAGTTAAGGAGCCAGAATGATATTTCATAAATAAACTTCACTAAATCCTCCCACTCATTGGACACACATTTCAAATCTGGGTTGCAACTGCACTGACGATAACTGAACTAAAATGCAATCTTATGGCTGGGGAGATGGATCAGATGATAGAAGTGGTAGCTGCTCATGCCTGAGGATCTCGTTTATTTCCCTGCAACCTGCATACATAGTGGGATGCAGCAGGGTGCACCTGTAATCCTAGCACTACTTTGGTGAGATGGGAGGAGAGGCAGGATGGGCCAGAATCTCGTAGACAAGCCAGCCTGGACTATACACTTCAGCAGCAGAAACAGGGGAGATCCTGCCATTACAAGGTGGAAGGAAGAACCAACTTGATGTATGTCCTCTGGCATCCACGCCAGCACTGAGGCATGCATGCATCCACCCTCACACTCATGTATACTTAGACAAATGATTTTTTTTTTTTTTTACTTAAACTTGGCTGGGGCTAGAGCTTTTACTAGGCACTTGCTGCTCTTGCAGAGGACAAAGGTTCAGTTTACAGCACTCACATGGAGACTTGCAACCACCTGTAACTCTGGTTCCATGAAATCTGGTACTCTTTTCTGTCCTCTGGGGACACCTGGGTCATGTGTGGTACATGCACACGTAACATGCAGGCACAACACTAATGCACATTACAAGCATTTAAAGTTTCTTGGCAGTCAGCTCTGTCTCTCCTGACTAGGGATGCAGAGAGGCCCTGCCTAGGAGTTCTAGGTCTCACATGCCCATAATTCTACCACAAGGTTCAGGAATCCCTTGCAGAGGGTGGGGGTAAACCATGCCCTACATGTGCTGTGTTCATCTGTAACTCTTAGCACCAGGACAATGATTCCTCTCTGTACATTTTGGCTTTGTGTTTTGAGGTGATGAGGATACAACCTCCCTAACTGTATGTGTTATCCAAGTGTCCAATCACTGAGTGACATCTGCTATGGGATGTTCTGTATGCTGTGAATGTGTTGCTGTGAATGTGTTGCTCTGATTGGTTGATAAATAAAATACTGATTGGCCAGTAGCCAGGCATGAAGTATAGGCAGGATAAGAAACAAGGAGAATTCTGGGAAGAAGAAGGCTGAGTCAGGAGACGCCAGCGAGCCACCCAAGGAGCAACATGCAATGGGACACAGGTAAAGCCACGGAACATGTGGCGATACATAGATTAATAGTTATGGGCTAATTTAAGATATAAGAGCTAGCTAGCAAAAGGCTTGAGCCATGGCCATGCAGTTATAATTAATATAAGCCTCTGTGTGTTTACTTGGGGGACATGAGTGGGAGAGATTTGTCCCCACCGCCAGCAGGCTGGAACACAGGAAAACTTCAGCTACAGACACCCCAGCCTGAGTGCTCCATGCCAAGTCCACCAGCAACAGCAACAGATAAGAGCAGTTTTCACTTCTCTCAGCCCCAGGTCACTTACACCTCCCAAGGGTCTGGTCCTGGCTAATTATTCTGAGACCCATACCTGCCTTGGCTTATACCACTGACATGGAATTGCTCACCCTAGGGGACCTCTCTGCAGACCTCCTGTACTTACATGTGTGATCTAAAGAGAATTCTCACTTTCTTCCTGACAAGGTTGTTGCTGTTGAACTTGACCTTTTCACAGAAATGGGTAGATCAGCCTTTTCTTACATCTCGCTGCTAACACAGGTCCTTTCACAGAGCAGGTGCTCGCCCTGTGAAGGTTTGGGGAAGAGACTGCATTCACCTTACTTTAGGTTTCATTTTCACTAGTTAACCAAAATAGGAGACTAAAACTAGTAAGACAATCAAGAATAATTTTATTTCATTTTTTTCATGAAAATGACAAGTTCTTTCCCATTGCCTGGGTAATTCCAATTAGAATGCCACAGTATCTTGAGACATATCACAAATAAGATATGTCATTCTCAACTGTTTACAAAATGATAAAACTCTCCTAAAGTGGATCAACAACAATAGGTCCATTACAAATTACATTCATATACTGAAAACATCTCCAGCTAATGAACCTTGCAGTAAAAGTATCAACATTTTGAAATACCAAGAATGCCCAAGTCACCCAGTGAGAACAGGAAGAAAATGGTTCACACCCTCCTCCCACCAGCACTCCAATGAGGGTACACTCCTTAGATCTCTGACTATGCCTGACCTGATGTTGGTTGAAAACTGCCAGTGAACTAGAATGTGTGGTGGTCAGGGCAGTGGTATTATTTGTTGGGCGACTCTGGCCTACGTTCTCTCTATCTCATCTCTCAAGGCCTCTGCATGACTGAAGGGGTAGGATCTGGGATCCTGCTTAACAACGCTGGCAAAAAACCTCAGCACTTTCATCTTGGTGGTTTCGGCATGAGCCCTTGGGCCCCACAAGAACTCATGACTTGGAGGATCGCTGTCTGGCACCTGCCTGTACTCCAGGTACCCTTCCTGCACAAAATGCTCAGTGATGAGTCTCCTTGGCTCCCCATAAATGAAATGCTCCCTCCTGGCATAGAGCCCCATGTTATTCAATATTTGCCACAACACCTCCTCACTGACACAGTTGTCCTTTATGAAGATGATGCACAACATGACTATTACCAGGCCTGTTTTGGGTATGCCTGGGAAACCATGCTGCATCCCATCATAGGTGATCCCTAGAGCATAGACAAGAGAGTAGGAGTGGACACGGGGGTTCCTTTCTATTATGTCAAGGCCAAACATCAGTCTCATGCAGTCAGAGGCCTTAGTGAAGATCACAGGGTACTGTGCCTCATAATCTCTGACGACCATATGCAGAATTTCTGCCCTAGTTGTCAGTTGCTTCCTCCTGTACTTGAGGAGCAGGAAGAGAACCAAATCAACTACCTTTCTATTGAGTGCATCCTGCGGGGGGGGGGGGGGGGGGGGGGGGGGGACGGACTCGGGGTGAGCCACTTCCTTAGCTTGGTTGTGAGAGGCCTCAGCAGGTGGTGCCCCTGCAATGGAGCCCATGGTAGTGGGAGGAGAGGAAGCTCTCTGAGCACTCTGGAGAGAACTGAGCGTTCTTCCAACAGACGCAGCCCCTGAGATGGTGGCATTGGCCTCTGCCTCCCCCACCTCAGCTATGGGGACCTGGGCACACTCCAGGCCCCTTGCCTCCCTGTGGGACCGAGTGCTGTCAGGAAGGTTGAAGCTCTGGCTGTTCTCAGTAGGATCCATGCTGAGTGTCCTTAGGAACACAGGCAGGACGCGGTGCAGATCACACACAGAGATGAAGACTCACAGGCCTGGGTGAGACAGAGAGAGGGTGAGTGGACTCTGACAGCTATTCTTGGGCATAGCTCTCAAAAAGCGCCTGTCAGAGGATTTTGCCTGGGGAGTGCTCTGTGGCCAAAGGACTCTGGTAGTGCATGTGCCACTGAGAGGCTCAAAGAAGGAGAGGCCCGGCTCCCCGGGTGTATGCCTCTTCTTGTGTGAGGTAAAGTCTCAGAACAAGTTTCTGTGTCTCTGAGAGGTTCCAGAAGACAGTGAGGGCACCTCACACCTCCTGGCACCTGTTCAGGAGGCACTGAAAGAGCTAGCTCAGTTCAGTGTGGTTCATTTGGGCTAGAACAGTACAGCAGCCCAATTCTCACCTCGATGAAGGGCTAGTTCGAAGAGCTTCCCTTCTCCTGCCTCCCCCACCTCAGCTATGGGGACCTGGGCACCCTCCAGGCCCCTTGCCTCCCTATGGGACCGAGTGCTGTCAGGAAGGTTGAAGCTCTGGATCCCTGGGTCCAAGGTCTTTAAGGCAGGAGACTATTTCTGTGAGAAAGAAAGAATAGGAGAGGGGAAGGAATCCACCCAAAGTGCCTCCGTTTTCCCACAGCCCTCAGGAAGGCAGGTAGGTAGCCAGGTCTCTGCTTTTGGCTGATGGGACTCTCTCAACTCTCACCAGGAATCCTCACAGACCCCAGCCTCCTTCTGAAGACCCAGGTTAAGGTGCTCTTAGCAGGCCCTTCAGTTCCCTTAGACTACTGCCTGGAATCAGGGCAGGGGACTCAGCCCTGCAGCCCTGCCCTGGAACGTTTGTGACACAGTGCTTCAGGGAAGTCTTTTGTGGGGCAGCTGTCTTGTGCTCTGGAATGGAGTCTCCTTCACTCACCCCCTGGGATCCTTTCCTGGAACTTCCCAGGTGTCTACTTAACCAAGAACTGTGCTCAAAGTCTCCCACTCTGGTGAAGTTCCACACCTGGCAGTCCTGTAACCTCTCAGCAGACAGGAGACAGTGGCACACCCCATCAACCCCTGTAGGGGAACTGCAGTGTTGGCCACGTGTCCTGGGTATTGAGAGCCGCTGGTAGCGAAAGTCCATGAGAGTATACAGCAGTGACTAAAAATAGAGTTCAGAAAGTCAACCTATCAGAACTAAGGGTTCTGTTAGAGGAAACCATCACACAAGGCGTTATGGAATAACTGCCTTTTGAATGAACTGGCTGTCTCTTGTTGTAACTTCTTGTGCAATAACAGCTATGATTCTCCCCATCCATTTACCGTGCATCTCCATGTTACGTGTACATGTAATCTCACGATCGCATCTCAATCTTGGGCACAACTTTCCCTGTACATTTGGGGTGATTGGATAACTGTCCCCAGCTGTGTTTACTTTTCATTAACATATATCTGGCCAGGGCCACTCTCCAAACAAAAGTATTTCAGCAAAGATACTTTTTTCCAAGGACAAATGCAGAGAAATAAACATTAGCTCATCTCACCCACAGATAGAGAAAAGGACCACTAACAATTAAATCCTCAACTCCTTACCCTCACCCGGGTTATTTACACAAGACCCTAACTTAAGAGATTTCCTGCTCACATTCCTGGGATGATGTTTTAGCCATTTGCTAGATACTGAGTTAAGGCAGTTACTTCCCACTGACCCAAGGAGACTGCCTACAAGGCCAGACAGGCAATAGGTGCCAAGCTTCTTTCTTGTGCAAATTAAGTTTTTATTCCTCCTCAGCCAGGTGCTATTCCTAGATTTTCTCCTCAGCAATTACTCTGAGTGAAAGTGCTTTTACTAACCAAATACTACATGCTCTGACAGAGGTTGCTTAGCCACCTAGCATATGTCCCCCTCCCTATCAGAAAGCAGCTGCAGCCGGGATGAGCAGGAAAAGTGGCGCCGCCAAAGAGAGTTTACTTTCTTGTTTGACTTTCTTTCCTATTGACCCCTAACATTCTACCTAGCCATTTCTAGATGATAGTTTGAGCACATAAATTCCCTAATTCGTCTTAGCCTTTAGTTGACCCTACCAGAGAACTCCCCTTTAGTCACTCCCCTTTTGGGTTGTAATTGGAAGCTGACAATTAATTGCTTTATGTGTGGATTCTTATCACCTCTCTCTGCGACCCTGAAAACTTCAAGTCTCGCATTGCTTTACCAAAGAATTACTGTGTGGGTATATATACTGGTTCTCTGAGAGCACTGGGAGGATTGATGGAAATGAACAAAGATGAGGACGGAGATGGAAAGAACTAGGTAGAATGATGAGAGAACAGCAGAAGGGATGAAGAGCAGAAGGGACTGAGAGGAACTAAGTATGAGAGCAGAAAAGAAACTGTGTAGATAGAATTGACTTAGCAGAATAAAGTGAATGGACTAAAGAACTCAGTGTGCTTAGATTCATTGAATATCTCTCAGATTAGAATCCTCAGCTGGTTGTTAGACTCTTTCACGGACCCTGGGAGCAGACAATATAGGTTGGACCTATTATTGTTTGCGTTACCTGGGCTCATCTCTCCTGAGATAGGAGTTCCCTAAGCCCACCTGAAGTGCATCTTTGCCCTCCTTCTTGAGACACCTGCTTCCCACCAGGGCCTTCTCCACAAAGACTCTCACATGCTTTCCTGGGGTAGCTGAAGTAAGTAAAGCCCTTGGTGTCCCTGAGCACTGACTCTGGGTCATACTCAGACTGTGCAAACCTTTTGCTCTTTGCTACAGATTCAGTCCTCAGGGGAGGTCCACACCCTGCAGAATCCTTCTGCTCTCCAGACCTGGCTGCCAATGCTGATCTGATATCAACCCTAGGAACAAGGTCATCACTCCCGAAAGAGGTCTCAACCCAAGTCATGCAGCCCAAGGAAGCCAGGCACGGCAGCCCCCCACTCAGGGATCCCCAGGCATCAGAACAGGTGCACACATGCTTTATGCAGTCTTCTGTTTGGGGAACGGGGCCCTCTTTGCATGTTCATTTCTGACCATGACAGCTTACCTGGATTCCTGATGGAAAATGGACGCCTCCTCTGGCAAGCATGCCTGCTCCCCTCTGGGCTGTGGTGGTACCCCACGGTGTACAGGCTCACCTTCCTGAGAGAGGAGACAGAAGCGAAGATGTATTGACTCTGGATATGCCAGGGCCTGGGCTTTTCAAGACTGGCAAAGGGGGCAGGTCCCTGCGTTTCCTCACACAGTCTGAAGTTTTCCTTCCTCTTCATTACTCACAACATCCTTCCTGACTCTCTCAGATCCATCTTTCAGGTCTAAGCCACCTCTGAGCCCCCACCTTATCACCTCAACCCCAAGTCAGACATGACACCTTTGGTCCACATCCGATCCCCATAACTAGTCTGCGCTGAGGGCAAGGGCTGCTTTTGTATGTCTTGTATCAGAGGTCTTATTGTTTCCTCCTTGGTGGCCCTGGATCCTTACCACTACCTATCTGAGGCCTTACATCCAGGACAAATCTGCATCCTCATGTAATAGAGGCCGAAGGAAAAGTGCAATGAGTCAGTTTGGCTCCCTGCCCACACGTGTTCTGAAGGACAAGGATGCCATGTGTACATTTGGGCCATACATGGGGCCAGGCTGTACTAATTGGGAACACTCCATCTTAAAAACCGTCTCTTTATTCCACCTTGTGCTGTCACCTTGTCTCTGATAGCCTGGCCTTCCCCTCCAGGATTTTTTTTTTTTAATGTAGAACGGTGAGGAAGGGGCTCATCCCTGCAAGTGGGCACTCAGGCAAGCTCTAAGGAGCAGGAACCTCAGAATGTGGTTCTAAGACTCTCAAGACCCAGGAAGTAGATATGGAAGCCTGAGCAGGGGCTAATCCTCCAAGTCAGCCTTGGTTTGTTTCTTCCACTGCCAAAAGAACACAATATAGCTTGATTATCCCAGCCTATCTTTCTGTCTGGAATCTGGCACTGAGCCCTTCCTCTTTCTGAAACCCTAAAATGGCTCCACTCCCAAGTACTAGGTGAGGGTGGCGAATAGGCTCATTCCTCCAAGTACACACCAGTTGAAACACCATTCGGGTACCTTCTAGACGGAATGGGGCTTCTGCAGTCTTCTCCTCTCTCGGGTCCCACACACATCCTGAATGCAAAGTCACCATCAGGTCAGGGATAACCTGACCTCTAAAAATCGCTCCTCTATATTTGTCTACAGTGACCACGGGGCAACAGGCTGATTCCAGCATCTGGGGCCCTGTTTGGTACAGAGGTATATCCAGAATATTGGGGGACCCTCTCTCTGGAGTATGTCGCATCCTGGGTCTCTGTTTGGTACAGTGTTCACCGCAGAAGTATAGCCAGAACATTGGGCGACCCTCTCTCTGGAGTGTGTCTTCACCTGTCCACTCTCAGGTCCTTCACCCTGGAGTTGATGTTAGCCATAGTCTGGGACCTTTGAAATTGGGTCCCAGAAAGGCATTCATGCCAACTAGCAGGGGCCACTTGGTGACAAGCTAAGCAAAGTGTCAATACTATATAATTTGAAAAGTCTTTACCCCTAAAAGGGAGTTTGAAAACCCTAACACCTCTCACCTTGACTCAGAAAGTGTGGCATCACTGTCTCCCTTCCAGGCACGTCACAAAAAAATGGTTCCGAACCCCCATCCCCCTGTGTCCTGGGATGTAGGAAGAGGTACATCACAAACTGGCTCTGAGCCTCCCTAGGTCCCCGGATGCAGGAAGAACAGCCTGGCAGTCTCGCTTCAGGAACCTCGCAAAATGGCTCTGAGCCCCCAAAGTCCCCGGATGTGGGTGCCGCTGCCAAAGCCTGAGGCGACTTATTCCCACAATCACTCTCAACTTTGGTGTAGGACCCTGAAAAACATACAAACTAGCCTGACTCTCGGCCTGTGTGCTTCAGCTTGGGCTTCTGAGACCCTGACATCCATATTGACCAAGAAAGCCATGTGCCCCCCTGTCTCTGGGAACCTCAGAAATAGACCCTG